CTCATTGTCCTGCTTTTTTATTGGAGTTCTTTGGTTGAGTGGCAGCTAGTAGCACAAAATAAATATATGTCCAAAATGAGTTAGTTCAAGGCTCATGTGGCCTCTGTTGCTCGGTGGTGTTGATTCATCCTGTACAGCATCAGGAAGATCAGACCTTTCCTGTCTGAACATGCAGCACAACTCCTGGTCCAGGCTCTCATCATATCATCGCCTACTGCAGCTCCTTACTGGCAGGCCTCCTGCATCCACGCTCAGACCTCTGCAGATGATCCAGAACCAGCAGCCCGTCTGGTGTTCAACCAGCCACAAACAGCTCATGGACTGTTCAGATCGATCACTGGCTTCCAGCTGCTTCAGATCCAAACTCTGACACTGAAGCAGAACCACAGAGAGAACATCTCCTCCTGCCTGAACTCTCTCCTTCAGGTCTACACTCCCTCTGCTCACTAACTGGACCAACCAGAACCTCCTGGTCCAACCACCACAACAGGCCCAGGTCGGTAGCTGGACTCTCCTCCTCTGTGGTTCTGGTGGTGTAGCGAGTTACCAGACTGGTCCACCTGCTGACTCCCTCTCAGTCTGTAAGAACAGACTGAAGAGCAGCTCTTCACTCAACACCTCTGCACCTGACAGGCTGGGAAATGAACAACAACACATTTCCTGTTACCTCCTGCTCTGCCCGCAGGCACCAAGGTCCGCCCACTCTGGACGGGTTCTATGAACTCATCCAGGTGGTTCTGTCCTGACTGGATCCTGCTGGTGTTGGTCTGCTCTCAGGTGGACGTCTGCTGGAGCAAACTGTAGCGTTGTAGAATTTGTCAAAAAATGACAGAAACAATGTTGAAAATTGGTTGCAGCATTTGTATCATCAAACGCTTTGAGAACATCTTCAGAGAATGGAATCCTACCTTTGAGAAAAACTTTCTGGAAAAATCTTATTTTAAAAAATTGTTGCTGAGAATATGAATGGAGTTTTGCAGAACTTTCTCAGGAGGGTTCACGGTGGCCCCCCGACTCCAGCAGATGGAAAAATGTCATTTTTTGTTAGGACATATGTTGTACATTCGCTGGTTAAAGGAGACAAATAAACATACGTCATCTCAAAGCGCTTCGTCTGCTCTTTAGGTTGAAGTAGCTGCTTCAGACTGAGACACCTGGATGGATGTAGAACTGATCTGGTGTCAGGTTCTACCAGAACCCAGATGTGTTCTTCCTCCTAAATGTCATGTGTCTATCTGCTGTACTGATGAAGTTCTGAGGCTCAGAAATGATGGAAAAAGTCCAATAAAGTGATCAATCTGGACCCTCCTCTGTGGCCTTCAAGGACCTGGACCTCTGGAACATTCACAGTCTGTGTCACGGTGGGGGATCGAGGAACCCAGGTGCAGACAGAGATCAGGCAGACAGGCAGGTTGAGTGGAAAAAAGAATTTAATAAACCAGAAGTAAAACTGAAAACCAATACAGAAAATGGAAACAGAACGGTGTAAACCAGGCTAAAGCCAACGAAAGGACGAAACTGCAATGAACAGGAGACAGTCCAAACAAGGAACTGAGGGAAAGCCTGAGAAACTCAGATAAAAAAACCAAGCTAAACCAACAACATGGGGATGCTCACGACATAGAGAACAAAAAGTGAAGAGGGCAGACAGGCTCGGGGAATCCAGGAAAGCTGGAGCAAGGCTGGGGGCAGGTACAGGCCGGCTGGGGGAAGATGCGGGTGCAGAGAGTGTTGCTGATCCAAGGGGGTCCAGATGGACCGGCAGGAGGGCAGTCAGGAGCGGGAACAAACAGAAACACAGGGATGGAGGGTCTGTGGTGGAATGAACAGGGCGTCAGCAGGAGGTGGATGATCCGGCTCCAGTACCTGTGGTCAGGCTGAGCAGGGCTGGACTGACTGAGGCTGGAGGTCATGACAGTCTGAAGGTAGAACTCTGATCATGACATAAAGTTACTGTAAATACAGACCCAGATGTTCTGAGGAGGTTCTGACTGGTTCTTCACTCTTCATGCTGCAGTTCTGTTTCACAGCTTCAGTGTGTCACTGAGATTTCTGCTGTTAGCCTTAGCATTAGCATCTGAAACAAGCTGCAGTGAAAAGCCCTGATACACACACACACACACACACACACACACACACACACACACACACACACACACTGCAGCGCTGCCAGCTGTCATTAGTTCATTCCTTCCTCTCATTCTTTTCTCTTTTTATTTTTTCCTTTCTTTGGTTCTTGCTGTCAGTCATGTCGAGCTCTGTGTGTGTGTGTGTGTGTGTGTGTGTGTGTGTGTGTGTGTGTGTGTGTGTGTGTGTCTATGTGTCTATGTGACATTGTTCACCTCTCAGTTTGATGGATGTCTGAAGCGGTTAGACTGCTGTCACACACATCTGTCTGCAGGCATTTTAATGAGCGACCAGGAAGCCCACTGTGGATCAAAGAGACAGACAGACAGACAGACAGACAGACAGACAGACATGTTGCACTCGATTTTGCGATCCGATCTCAAAGATCAGAATCAGAACTGATCAAGACATTCTTCACCTGATCGGTATCAAACCTCAGCCTGATCCTTAGTTTATGTTGGCTGTCACACAGGTGTTGTGAAGGAAGAGCTCTGTCTGTGGCACCATGCTACTTTAGAACAATAATCTGGAGCTTCATCAATCAATAACTGATCCATTGATAACACAAACTGAACACAGTTGACATTTGATCTGTGCTAACATTTCTGTTTTAGTCCTCAGACTCCTGCTTTGTTCTTCAGTCAGCTCTGTTCCATCAGTTATTGTGATTCAGGAACTCTGTCTGCTTGGAGGTCCTGAACCTCCTCAGAGTGTCTGTCATGGTCCCGTTGCTGCCTATTCCCACAATGCTCTCTGCTGCCACCAGGAGCTGTAGTCTGTAGAT